TTACTAGAGTTTGCTCTGTTTATAAAATTCATTATATCTCATAAACGAAGACAGATAGGACATATATTTTTATGACTTTTTTCCATTATTTTTAGGCGTACAATTAGCTCCCGAAGTGGAGCCCACAAGTTACGAAACACCCTGTTTATTTTTTTGGCTAATTGCGAAGCGAAATTTCAATTTGAACAACGCGATGACAATTTCTATTCCGATTGTTTCTTCGCTGTTCGCGCATTCTCACATATTTTACTGTAACGAGAAATTTTAAATCAGTGATATCTCGTAACAACATAAAGTAGAATATGGTAAAAATGTGACCACCATGTTCTTTGTTCCAGTCAGCAGAATTATTCGTATGGAATTTGAATTGCAATTTTTAAGCGTGCTACTGTAAAAACCTATTTTCAACACTTCGATGTAGAACTATGCGGTATAGAGCACTCGAAAAGCGTTTTCGTTGCTGCGGCTTGGCAAATAAAAAGTTACGTCGAACCTGGTCAAAGCGTCGAATTTATTTCGATTTTTCCCCTCTTTTTTTATTTCCATGTTTCATCTTCGAAAAAAAGTTGCAGTTTTTTTTCTTTTTTTTTTTTTGCCGCACACGGATACCGTTGTCTCTCGTTTCGTTCGCGATTACAACAATATCGCGCGGACACAATCTGCCTTGTGATTCAATGGATTTTGTTATTTTTTTCTTTTTTCTTCCTTTTTCCCCCAGTTGAATTCGCTAGGTAAAATTGAGTGAGTTTGAAAAACCTCGACGAACTTAGTAAAAACAAGCTTCCGATTATTGTGCTGGCGAGGGAATGAATTTTGTTTTCGAACGTTGCACGCGATCGACGATGTTTCTTGTGGTTCTGAATAAATTTGATTGAAGTGATTGACACAGTCGCGTTTCTTCAAAGGGAGTTCTAATATCACGAGAATTTTAAAATTTTCTCAGAAAGCAAATACATATTTCTTTGTTGGTTTACAAATTTTACATTTTTTTTTTTTTTTTTTTTTTTTAATTAAATCTTTTTCTTTTTTTTTTTTTTTTTTTTTACATAGCGTGATACAGGACAGAAAAGAAATAATAATGGTAGATTTCTCGTAATTTATTAAACTCATAAAGCCAGCTTTTGCTGCTCGAAACCGGGTATTACACCTACTTACGTGGGTTTAGAGAACTAAATTAATTAGCTCTTTAACCGCGTAGACAGGGTAACTTTTCATTCCTTGTATAAGGCAGATTTTCAATCTGAAATAAGGCCGGAGTGTAGTATAAATTCGTATAAATTTCGTTTCTTGAACGCTGAAGTGAATTAAATGGGCATTGTCACCACAATGCTCGTGTTTTGTATAATACCAGCAGCTTTGCATTAATTTTCGTTTACCAACAGCGTGAAATATTCAAATATTTTGCTTCGATACTGATTTGTTAATCAATTCGAATTCTACTAATTTTTAAAAAAGGAATTGATAATTCATCTTCGTGAAATTCACACAAGTACATGGCGTTCGTTAACACTAGGAATTGTTGAAATAATGTTTTTAAAATAATTTATTGTAATTTTAGAATTTTAGTATTTTACATAAATTATCATTAAATTAAGAAGTAATGTTGATCAAATCACGACGTAAATTATCAATTTACGTAAAATCTAAAATTGTTTTGTACTTCGATTTCTTTTGAGTTCGATCTTTATCCGTCAGTAATCTTTCAATAATTTTAACATCGATCCAGGACTTGGCTGGATTAATCAGAAAAATTAATCTCGTTATTATTACTCTCTTCGACGAATGACTTATACATTCGAGTATCTCCTGTCTTTTCACACATAATTTAACGCCTCTTAAAACTAATCTATACGTTGCTTTAAAAACGATTCGCCTTTGTTCACTCTTGTTTTCATAATTCACCTAAATCTAAATTCTACGCACGCGTGCACACTCACTATCGCAGACAAATCACTATCAAAATTAGAAAGTTTGTCTATTCAAACACGAAACTAGCTCACGACAATTAGCCCGTAATTGACAATTTGCTAGCGTGTACGCACAGGCCACACACAAATACAAACGCACACATACACACACACACACAGAGAAACACAGAAACGTAGCTGCCGGTTTCCCAAGCAAAAGCAAAGGAAACGGATTCACTGGCCGCTGTTGCTCGCGAACGATGCACGAATTGAAACACGCTAAACACTGTTCCAGTTCTCCCATGGGGGCCATGGAACGGCGTTATTGAGTCGAGTGGTCATTGAGCTGCGTTGTCCCGTGCGGCCTGCTGATCTGCTGCACTGCTATCTCGAAATCGGTTACGCGATTAGCGCCTCGTTAAGAGCAATACCGGCGTACGCGACTCGTAACGAGCCCGATTATCGAACGTCCAGCCATCGAGTTTATTCGACAGTAGCCCGGTGTTCAAGCCTCCTCCGCCTCCCCGTCATTTCACGTAATTATCATCCTTGTTAGTTAACACCAGAACGCGAAGATGTTTACGCAACTAAAAAGACGTAAAATATTCTGCTATATCGTTATATCGGCTGTATTTACAATTTAAATGAGAGGTAGATAAATTTGTGCAATCACTGTGAAGATCGATGTTAAATTTTGACGAAAGAATTTGTACCATATTTCCAGCAATTGTAAAAAAAAAAAAATCTGAAATCCGCCGTATTTGATGAGATAGTTTCAGTGTTGGATAGAAATTTGCTTTATCTACGAAACAATTTCTTTCGTATATGATTATCTTTTGTATCCTTTTTTTATTTATGAATATATTTTAATAATATTATTGAAAAATATAGATAATGGACATAATATATATTATATCCATTATTTACACTTTTATACCTTAAAATTTCATCCCTTAAATACGTAAAGTACAGTCTGTTAATTTAACTTGACAGGTTCTAGTCTGTTGTGTAGAAGCTTGATAGATATTATAATAATGGATTATAATGAATTTCAATAGAGGAGAGTACAAAATTCTAGAGTATTTTAAACGCAAGTAAATCCTAATTTTGGTATTAGTTTCCCTTATCATCGCTTCGTTCATCATCATCATCATCATCATCATCATCACAAGTGTATAAATGGGATCGTTATGTAGCGTTTTCACAATAACAGATTATTGTGCTTCGATTAATATCACGTACCGATCGATATTCAATACAATCATTCTTATCAATTGATCACTTGTGAAGTAAGATCGTAATAGCTATTACTAATTATCAAAGACAGCCACGATTAAACCTAAATCGTTGTGTATTCTTTGAACCTTGATTTCTACGAATTCTATGAATATCATTTCACCTCGAGCATTTCATATCCGTGAAATATTATCACGTCGTGTCGCATTGTAACATTAATACGTTCACGGCGCAAGTATTCGCGAGGCAATTGCGAATCGATCCACCGATTTATTAAACGTCTGATGATGCACGCTTGCGGTTAATATGTATTAGTGAGCCGAGAGTTTAATTGGCCGTCGAAACAGATCGAAAAGAAAAAAAGAAGAAGAAGAAGCACACACGAATAAGCAAAACAGAACCACCTTTCTGCAACACCTGCAACCAACAAATCACCACCCAACATCTGCTACATGAATGCAGAAAATACCGAAACATAGGAAGTAAATATGGATTAAATCAAAACATCCCCCTAATCTGCTAGAAACAACAAAAAAAAAAACGTTATCAACTACCTAAAGGAGACCCAACTACTAGACCAGATATAAAGAGAAAGTTCCAGCACGTCGCTAAAGACCTCGTAGTCGATGCGACTCTAAACTCCCATATAAAAAAAAAAAAAGAAGAAAAAAAGAAAGGCAACGAGCCAATCGACGAAAAATCGATACGGAGAAAGGTAACCGTGTTCAGGTTTTTCGCAGTTCGCCCCGTGGGTCAATATTGATCATCGACTTCAGAAACGTTGGCCTGTTCGATTTATACCCCTCTCTGATGCTTCGGCCCTTGTTATTAATGTTATTATGTTTATTCAAGTTTTCACTCGACGTACCCTCTGCGGCGAGAGGGGGGAGCTCGCGGGAATGTGTAGCGTTACCGCTGGAAAATTAATAACACGTCGACGTATTGGAATTGTTTACGGAAATAACACTGAAGACAAAGAGACTTCATTGCACGTATATGGCCCGGTAATTATTCGTGCGTGCGAATTGTTCGGATACGTCCGCTCGGTATGAAAACGTTCATCGAGTCTTAATTTTGTTCTCTAATCACCTGCCGTTTCCGGTGATAAACGATTGCTTTTCGAGACCAGGGTTGATAACAACAACTGTTGGTTTTGACTTTAGGTACTTTCAATGGGTGATTACATTTTCAAATCGGTGTAGGGAATGCTTTGTGTTAATTTAACTTCAACGTGTGGGGACGTGTAAAATTTACGTTTTTGTACGTCGTTATAATTGTCTTTTATACGACTCAATCCGTAAAAATAAATAAACAAATATTTGCACACATGTTATTCCTATTCTATTATACAGGGCGTACGCGTTAAGTCTTGCCACCAGTTTTTAGGCAATTAATTTATCCGATAGTGCAATTAGAAAATGTTTCAGACAAAATTCTTTTAGCATTTAGTGGGCTACGTGTTCCCATATTCTTAAATCTCAAAAAATGTTTTTTTACGCAAAAACGTCGAGGTCGTCTTGAGTTAAAAAGCATTTTTTGAAATTTAAAAATATGGAAACGCGTAGCCCAGCGGATGCTAAAAAAATTTTCTTTGAAACATTTTTTAATTGCACTGTCGGAAATGCTTAAAAACTGGTGACGAAACTTAACGCGTACACCCTGTATATTAAACGTATCGTACTTGTAAACGCGTCGTTCTTCTGTTCGAAAATTTAAAATAGTAGTAAATAACGGTAACATTTAACGTCGTGTATATTTAATAGCAGAAATCCATGCCACTTCATTTCCAAATGAAATACCTAATTTCATAGAATTCTACTTAGTACAAATTCGAGTCGTTGTAAGAAAATCCCCCCCACCGTATAACGTTTATTTAATAAAATCTCCGCTAGAATCTTTTTCCGCGGGACGTTAATTTTGAGCAAATTAAAATTCCACAAGGGCTTGAGGCGAAAAACAATTTTACGAAATTGCGCTCTGTTAACTGTACTCTGATTGCGTTGCCATCGTTTCGCGAAAGTTCATTATCCTCATTCTAATTTTCGAGTTTTTCCATCGCGGAGCTGAGTGAGACTGTGCACTCTGTCCGTTTCTTCTTCTTCCTCTTTGCAGAATTTCTACGACACGCGCCGTGCATGCAGAAGGTGCAGCCAGAGTACGAGCTCTGCTACAAAAAGTATCAGAAAACCACCCAGGAAATCGAAATGAGAAATCACACGGCGAACTTGAACGGATCCCTCAAGCTGCTCTGCTGGTAAGTAAGAATATTATAATCTCTCAGGGCGTCTCGTTTAACTTGTTCAAACGGGTAGTTCGCAATTTAACATCCCTGTGCGCGGGGAAATGTGGTGAAAGTACAGAGGGTCAAGAATCTCTCGTAGAACGCATGCAAACGAATATTAATTCAATTCCTCCGGAGATGATGAAATACGAATTTAATGGAGATTTTTGCTTTTTTTTTTTGAAACATATTTGTTTCGTTTTTTTTTTTTTTTCGGGGGAAAAAATTATGGTAGAAAAGTAACAATGACAATGATGGTAAATCATGTACAATAAAAAAAAGTACTAGCAGTGATAGAATAAAGTGAAGGAATTATATTTAAATAAATTGAAATAAATTGAAATATTTAACGACAGTTTGCTGTAGCTAATTTAACGATTGAATTGAATTAAAGAGGAATTTTAATTGAATCGAATGTATATAAATAATTTGCAATTTTCGCATGTGAATAAATGCGAAGATAGCGTAGAATTTTCGATGATTAGTTAATTCAATTCCTCCGGAGATGATGAAATATGAATTTAATGGAGATTTAATAGAGGTTTTTTGCTTTTTTTGAACATATTTGTCTTTTTTTTTTTTTTTTTTCGGGGAAAAAAATTATGATAGAAAAGTAACAATGACAATGATGGTAAATCATGTACAATAAAAAAAAGTACTAGCAATGATAGAATAAAGTGAAGGAATTTTTATTAATAAATTGAAATATTTAACGACAGTTTGCTGTAGCTAATTTAACGATTGAAATGAATTAAAGAGGAATTTTAATTGAATTGAATGTATATAAATAATTTGTAATTTTCTCATTTGAATAAATGCGAAGATAGCGTAGAATTTTTGATGATTCGTAAAAGGCTGGATAAAAACCAACTGAAGACGATGTTTGAGGAAAGTTACGAGAAATTTAAATGAAGTTTTTTTCCCACAAAATCACGCTACACCTTCGTGGTCTCTGTGACCATGTTTGCATTGATGGACGTATTTATTTATCTTTTGTTTCTTTATTCTCTCATCATCATATGCATTCAGTCGCAAAAGTTTATTAACATTCAACGATATTTTCTTCGCACGCTTGTTTGAATAACGCAATTCATGCAATATTTTCCATTAGTAGCGCTCGAACGATAGAGAAGTAGCCAAACGATTTCAAATGATTTGAAACTTTAGAATTTTAGAACGCAAGAAAATAATTTCACGTAGTTGATAGCTTCATTGTTAGTTTCATCGTCAGTTTCATATTTAATATTAATGTATTATAATTGCGTACGTGGTAGAATAAAGCTTGCAAACCTGTTTGCTTTTTGTTAATGTCTGATCTGCATCCACCATGAAATTGGATCATTGTCGTTACAAACGTGTTTCGTCGTTTCGGCAACAATACTACGACGACCATGGTTGAATGATTTTTCACGTCGCGACTTTTTTTTTTTTTTCAATTCAAATGAACGCGAAAAGAGAGATTTTAAAATGAGAGCGCACACTAATTTTCATTTTCCTCTGTCTCTGATATGCGTCAAAGGAATATTTAATTTTCAATTCTTGATCGTCAATTATTATTCGCACGAGTCGAGTTTCCTGTGTAATACGGCGTGCACTTGCGTAAACACGTAGAGAGAATTTAATTAAAATTTTCTTTTCAATCCAAGTCGTAGAAGAATCTGTTGCCACGTTAAATGTACTTCGAGAGGAATTTTCTGAGAATTCTGTAAAGAGAAATGAAAATTTCGCGAGAGCAGGCTCCTCAAGAATTTCGCAAAAAATTACTAAAAAAAGAACTGAAAGAGAAATTTTAAGAGACTTTGATTAATTTTCAAATATTCAGAATATAATGTTGCTTTGAAACATAAAATTATCAATCAGGAATCAAAGGTATACGACAGAAATGGCTTGAAAGCATTCCCTTTGAACGAGTTACATTGTTAGGCACGTTAAACGCAATAAGACGCGTGTAAAAAAAAAAAATTTAACGTTAAAAGAGCATGCGCGGTGGAGGATGCAATTGAATTTACACGATAAGAGTATTAAGAGTAAAGAGCGCTCGTGTTCACATGCGGCGGGATGTGTTTGAAATCCTTTTTTCCTCTCGTATGCTCAGCCTTTCACCATCCTCGCTCTGCTCGCTCTCTCCTCGCTCTCTCCTCTTCGCCATCGTTCTCTTTTCGCTTTACGCCTACCATTTTTTCCCATTTTTTCTCTCTCTCTTTCTGTTTTCTTCCGACTGTTCGCGACTGTTTCTATCTCTTTTCCCTCCGTTTCACTATGTTGTCTCGTTTTTTACTTTCCTTTTTGTTCCCCTCCTCTTCGTTCAACTTTTGCATTTTCATATTCTCTCTTGTGGCTACTATTTTTGTGGTTTGTTGTTCCCTTTTTTCTGAATTTTCATCTCCTTCTTTGTCGTTTTGTAAACGTTTCATTTTCTTCTTCTCCTTCTTCTTTTATCTTTTTTGGCATTTGATCGCGTTTCACTTCCTTCCCTTTTTCGTTTGTGTATAATTGCACATCTTTGTTTTTCCTTTTTTATTTCGATAAACACGAATACTGTTGAATTTTTATCGGCATCAATCTCCTGTGTTTCATTTCGTTGCATTCTATTCTCGCACTCTATTATTTTTACGTTTGATTTTTTTCTTCCTTCGTTTTCATTCTCTTCTACAAATGCACATCATTCTTGTTCTTTTATCTTTTTCATTTTGATTTACACGTTTTGCTAAAAATTATTCCAATTTTCATTTCTCTCAATTTATATGTACAATGGTTTTATTATTCTTTTTTCCTCGATTTCAATTTTTTCTTACTTGTAACTCCTTAGTTTAATTCTTAATTCTTCTTCGTCTAATTTCAAATTATAGCTCACTTTGATCACAACTTGAAAGCACCCGGAGAATAATTATTAGAATTTTTCATACCCCGTTAACAGTATCTCTGATCCTCTGTTTTAATGTATATAATTAAATTCTGTCTCATTATTTTCTATTACCCTTTATCATTCTTTCTCCCTTCAATTTTTAATTTTTCCCCATTTAAAATCATACTGTAACTTGATATTAGTATTATAATTTGAAATTAAGAGAAGAAGAATTATTGCAATTTTTCCACTCTCGTTGCAACATTGATTCACTTTTTCATTATTTCCTGTGGTTTTATCATTCTTTTCTCCTCCGTTTCAATTCTCTTCCATTCGTAGATCAGACTTCAATTTTTAATTCTCCTGCTCTTGCTGCAGCAAGTCTGACCCTTTCATTTTAATTTATATGTACCCCGCTTCATTATTCTCCTTCTTGCCCCATTAAAATTTCCCCTCACTTGCGAAATCGGATTTTAATTTTTAATTCTTCTTCGTCTGATTCCAAGTTGCAACCCACTTTGGTTTTACAACGTCCCACCCCTTTCCTAGCCCATTTTCTGTTTCATTTGTTCCATTTTCTCTTCGATTCTCTTTCCCATTCTTCTTCCGCTCTTTCTCCGGCTGTCGCTCACTCTCGTTGCCTCTTCCTCTTTTTGTCAACCCTCTCCGACTTCTTCGAGCGCGGGTGATGCACAATTTCAAAAGCTGCAACAGACCGTGGCGGAGATAAGCTAATGACATTACGTTCTATGTACAGGCATCAGCGTGAATGAAAAGCTTCCTCCCTCGCGTCGTGTTTACACGGCTTCGCCGGGAAAAAAGAGAGACAGAGAGAGAGAGAGAGAGAAAGAGAGGAAAAAGATATAAACGTGATGAAAAGATAGTAGCGTAACTACTGTGCGAGAACATATCGAACGTTGCGTATTATTCTCTTCCCTCCTTCTTTTTTCGTTCATTGCACTTCGTTTTCCCTTTTTTCGTTTTCCTCATCGCGAACAGTAAAGAGAAGAATTATTTTAATCGCTATCTGTTGTTGGACTTTCTGCATTCTGTGTTAGTCTCGCTCGAGTTGTTTTCTTTTTCTTTTTTCTTTTTTTTTTTTTCAGAAAATTTATCAATTTTTAGAAAGATAAGAAAGATAAATATCTGTATCTATTTTCCTATCATTAGAAAATTTGCTAAGTTCGAGGGATTTTTATTACTTGAAATAAATTGCATTTTCTTTGCTAGAATATAATTTAATATTAATTAATATAATTTAATATAATATAGAATATTAATATAATATCAATATATAATAATAATACAGAATTAATATAATATTAATGTAATTTAGAATTGTATTTGAAACTATATTTTTCTATCGTTGGACTAACAATAAGTGTGAGGAAATTTTTATTACTTAGGATCGCATTTTCGAAAACACATTTTTCTATTGTTAGGAAATTCATCAAGTTCGAACAAAATAAGAGACATTTATTACTATCAATAATCATGTTTGAAATTATATTTTATCCACCTTAATAAAAAAAAATTATTATTAATATGTGTGACTTCTTCGTTTGATTAATTCAAAGATTTTCTTAAAGTACTACATTTATCTATAAAAGCTTTTTCTTTTCCTCACAGGAGACAAAATATTCGATGATCGCAAGTTTAATTTAATCTCCCTCTTGCTTCTTCTTTCTTTCAATGCATTTTTAATTTTTCTTTCGTATTCTACTGGATGTTTTGTTCATCGTCGTGAAAAATTTCTGCGTTAAAATTTTTATTATTAAAATGAAACAATGAGGCACGATTTTTAATAATGCTCATTTCTTTTTATATCGCGAGAGAGCTTTAATTTCATTGAGTTGATGCGTGAATTAATCATGACTTTTTTTCCTCTCTCTCTTTTTTTTTTTTTTTTTTTTTTTTTTATGAGAATCGAATAGTCACGTTTGAAATAACTGACTATGCAATAACTGTGCGTCTCATCTATATGTATATTGAAATGAATTATCTCGATAAAATATAAATTTACGTTAGACTTTTTTTTTTTAGTATTGCGAGAATAATTAAAAATGTTGTGACAAATTGAAAGGTTGAATGGATAAATTTTAAACAAGAGAAAGAGAATTGTCGTGTTTCGAGTTACAAATGTTTCGAACGAAAGTATCGAAGTTCAATACTTAATTTCGTACGTTCTATTAAAATGTAGATAACAGAAGTACAAGAATTGAAGTAACAAATAAAATTCACATTTTTGCGAAATAAACTTTCGCTCGGAGATTTTGAAAACCAAAAAACATTTGCAGTCGAACAATCGAGACGCGTCATCGACGAAGAAATATTTTCCGCTGAGAGGGATGAGGGGAATCTTGACGCGAAAATAAAGGAACAATGAGCCCGAGATATTCCCGTGTGAAAACTTTCTTCCGTATTAGTTTCGGAAACAATGAAATCGAGAAGCTGGTTCAATCCGTTACGTTTTGATAAACGACGGGGAGCGTCTAGTATTTCGAAACTCCGATGGGAAGTTTTATTCCAAAGTGATGGCGGGTGTTACGCGTGTTTTATTTTGACGTCGATTTATAGCGCCGCGGACATGTATCACGCTAAATCGCGCGTAAATCCATCTCCGAATCAGTTTTTAGTCTCTTATTTATCTCTTGCGTATAAAACTTTCCTCTCCCTAAATTTCGAACTTTCATAAAAAGTTAGATTTGTTATCTCTTTCTTTCCGTCTCTCGCATTAAAATCAGAAATAACGACTCCGGGTGGGGGAAAAACATTCGACGAACCAGCGGTGGAAATTGTACAAATATGTTTAATTAAAATCCGCACACGCTTCCGTGAATTTTTTTCCGTCGATGATATTTTCGCATGAGATAATTTCCACCGCATTATAGGTTTCACGCATGAACGTTCTCTCTTGCACTGTCGAAAATTGGGAGTGGCTGTTTCTGTTCCCGTCGGTACGCGTCGGCGATACAATGGATTTGTAATATCCTGATAAATAGTTTCAATTCGAAATAAATTAATTCACGTTCGCAGGGTGATTCTGTGCGGAATAAATATAAATTTTTATTTATACACCGCGCCGAGGGAAATGTTAAACGTGGAAAATATTTCGTTTCGAGGATCGTGCACTTTTTTTTAAATTTAATTTAAAAGTTCTCTAATTCTTGTAAATTACGATAGAATAGTGGGACGTAGAGTAGTTGCTTTTTTGCTTAATTTTTGAAAAGCTGCGAATTTCTTTCATTGAAATTTATATTTTTATGAACGTTAGGAAATATTGAATAGATATTTGTTTCATCTACTATAAATAGAGCGATTATTGTTTCATTGTGGATATTTTACACATTTTATTATATTATGCACAATTTTCACGGTTTTGTACGTTTTAGAAAAAGATTTGCAGTTTCAAAATTCGGGAACCGAAATGATTTCGTATTTCAAAGGAATTTGGAACTTACTTTCTTTAAATTCTTTGTTCGCCAGACAAGATTCCTATTAATAATTACTAATTCCCAAGCAAATTAAAATGAAAACCAATTGAAATTCATTTAATTTACATTTGAGCACGCTCAGTTTGTTTCATCATCAGGAGTCGGTGTCTCAACCGCGCGCGATGTGTTTCAATCGAGGTGCGTTTGTCGCACGGCGTGATATAATTTCGCGCGTTGCGTTTCGTTCTGCGTTTTCAGCCGGGAAATTGAAAGAAGAAATCGGCCGCGTTTGTGGGAAAGAAAACAGAGTGTCAAAGGCTCGGGGTCCACCTTTCGAGTTTTAATATCCGTGACGCTCGCGTGTGTCTTATCTTTGACGTTGTGCCGCGAGGATTCAATTTACCAAGTGCGTGCTCCATAAAATTATCCTTACTGTTAATGCCTTGACGTATCGTTGACTGCTCGAAATTCCAGCGTGTTTAATTGAATGCTGTTTCAATGAAACTTACCTCGAAATTCACTAACTCTTGAAATTTTAACGTTGCCGATAGACTGCGGAGTTTCAAATTTTTACGAACACGACTGAAGGAACGTAGTCGAAGCAAAAATTTGTTTTAACTATTTTATATATTATTTATTATATTTATTTACTATATATTTTATATATTATATTTATTATATTTATTTTATATATTTTATTATATTTATTATATTTATTATATTTATTTTATATATTTATTATATAATATATAATATTTAATAATAAATATAATAAATATATTATATTTTATTATATTTTATATATTTATTATATTATATTTTTATTTATTATATATATTTATTATATTTTATATTTGTTATATTTATTTATTATGTATTTTATATATTACAGAATCTTCTTTTATATAAAAGTTTTTAAAGTTTCCACAAATGCATAAAAATTCGCGGTTCAATTGTTACATATTCGACAACATAGTATACATTACAACGTTACAAGATTTTAGATCATAAATTACCTATTATCCGTATTTTTAATCATGTATTACGCGTTTCTTTCATTTTTATGTTATCGTATCATTGTATTTTATTTTTTTTTAATATTTATACATTTGATTTGAAATATGTCGAACATTATTTCTCTTCGAATATTATTCATTAAGATTGATTAGTTTTACCAATCTTTCTAGTTTCCAATTGTGTATCTACATTTTTTTTTAGTTAAAAATTTCAGTGGTTTATTATTTGATTTTATTTTACTGCAAGTGCACGATAATGAATCACATAATAAAGTACTCACCACTACATCAAGTGAAACTTTAGTTTACCACAAGGTAAATAATTCATATTGTTAATCCTTATAACAGCTGAAAGCCAACGTAACATATTTTAATAAACTGTCTCGTTTCCCGAAATTTTCAGCAGTGTCTCTTAACCTAAACCTAGCTTGAAATCCTGAATGAAAGCACAACTCGTTAAAAGACTCGAAGTCACGAATGAAAATTGAAGCGTTCAACGTCTCGCATATCGACGTCAGTTGACAAGAACGAACTATAATCAGTGATAAACTTGAATCAAATCATGAATGAAAAAGTAAAAGAAAATTCAACATACACATTAGAAGACTAACAATTAAATCGAGCGATAGACCACTTCCAAAGACCTAATTCCCGACGAGAAATTACCCATCGCGCAAAGTGAAAATTGAAGGAGACCTATATTCTCTCCCCTTATCCTGGAACCCTTTTGTCGAGATCGTTTTTCTCGCGGATGGGAACGTTTCAAATACACGCGCGCGGCTTTAACGTAGGAGGCATCCGGTGAAAAAAGAAGCCGAGCCACGGCTGTATGTTGCGCGGATACAATCGACAGGGCTAAAAGCGAGATATACGTCTGTTGCAGTGGGTTCAAGGAATTCTTGGAGTGCTCTCACCATACGATTCGCCGACAGTGTGGCGATGACACAGCTCAATTTGCAAAGGAGTTCCTTGACAGAATGTCGAGCTCGCTTCTCAGGGTAAATATTTGCCACTTTTGCCTCGAGAGAGAAAGAGAGAGAGAGAGAGAGACTGTTGTCACCACAATGAGGTTTGCGCGATGTCGCAGCTTTTGCTTAAAAATATGAATCTGCATAGCTTCCCGATGAAAAATACGCGGATACGCGTGTAATCGTTGTGGGAGACAGACGTTTCATCTCGATGCAAATTTTTATCAATTTTATCGGTCGATTTATTATTGAAACGTAATCAAATAGCACGGGCTGGATTTAGAATTTGTTGAGAAAGTTGGTAATTTAAGTTTTTGGCTATTAAACCCTCGGCCTTGGGTAACGATGCGATGGGATTAATTCTCGAACGACTGAGATTGGATCAATATTCTGATGTATACAAATACTTTAATATATACTTTATACTATATATAATATTATTATTATATTATAATTATAATATTATATACTCGTTATTATACTTCATATTGTACATAATACTTAATATTGTACATTTTATAGTTATGAAAGATAATTACATAATAGAGCATAAATTCTAACAATAAGTAATATATTTGAATAATTTAATTTTGATTTTTAACTTGATCTTCAAACTCGTGGAAAAGACTTGAAGACGTAAGATTTTCGCGAGTGCTTAAAATTCTCGAAATCTTCTATTTATTTAAAAACATTGTCTATTTTGTCAGAGAAAGACTTGCTCCGCAAAAAAATTTCTACGTTCTGTTCTGTTTCTCTCCAAAGCGCAAATTCAACTCGAACAATAAAAACAGATCAAGTTAAAAAAAATTAAGGTAGCATTTTTTCTCACTTTATCGCCGTGAAATGAAAAATTGATCCAATTCTCCACCAAGGCTAATATTTCAAATTTCTCAACGACTCTGTAGAAAAAAAGAGAGAGATAGAGAGAGAGAGAGAGAGAGAGAGAGAGAGAGAGAAAACTAACAGGTGGAACAATTTACGAATGATTTCAGGTGCACTGCGCCCCATACACGGAGGAGGTGTGCTCGATCGGAAGCGGCGCCAGCGTGTACAGGGTGCAGGCGTTGGCGTTGGTGGTGTTGGCGGTGCTCGCGAGGTACTTCACGTAAGCGATTAGGCGGCACTCGTAGCCGGAAAAAGGGGACGATTTTCGTGCATCACGAGCGTCGTGCTGAAACCGGGGCCCTCCGTTCATTCTCCGCTTCAGATTCGCCAGAATATTTTTTTATTTCCCGAACGAGCAACCAAGGAGAGATGAGAAGAAAGAGAGAGAGAAAAAGAGGCACGCGCACGCGAGCTCCAAGAAGCGTGAGGCTAGAGAGGAAATGCGAACGAGAGTGCGAAGAAGAAAAAGAGAAAAGAAAACAAAATAAAAGAAAGAAACGAAGAGAAGAGAGGGACTAAGGCAAGGAGAAGTTAAGAAAAAACTGTGGACACGAGACTGTGGAGGAGAGTTCTCTTGCACACGTTCTCCGCACACGAACTTCCTTGTCGCGTTTCTCTTTGACACCGACTACTACGGTCCATGGGAAACAGAGAGAAAGAGAGAGAGAGAGAGAGAGAGAGAGAGGGGCGGACGTGCCTTCGGACAGTGTGACGAGCTTAATCAAGCAATCAGAAGGCACGTGCGACGGGACGAACGTGATCTGTCGAACTGTCACTGCTGGTCTATTATCGGCTGGTGGTTCGATGTTCGAGGATCGATTAAACGCACGAGCTGAACCGACGGGGAGAGAGGAGGAAGAATATGAATGAAAGAAGATTGGGACGTGTCGTGTGGGTGGTGGTTACCTTTCGGTTACGTTTCAGCTTTTATTTCGTCAAGTAGCCGCTGTATATTCGAGCATTTGTCTGTAGCGAACGTGTATCAGCTACAGAGGGAACGGTCTCGCGTGTCGCGTGAAATGAGCAGAAATCACGTGATTTCCTCGTGCGAAGGAGGCATCGGAGACGAGAGGAGTATTTCTGAGAGATCATTCAAGGATATATACGTACGTTGAATTCTATTTTGATCTTCGTTACGGAGTAGCAGTGGTGGAAATGAGAGATACAGTCGTGACGCATGGAAGAGTGAATTCTTCGAGCATGTGGTCAATTGTTCAGAATACGTCTACGACGAGGACTCTGTTCTCGCGACAAGGAGATGAAAAAACCAATGTACCAATGAAAAAAGAGACAGGCATCCGTTTGGCCTAAAAAAACTAACTCTTTTAACTGGTCGACGTTTGCCACATTTGCTTCCGAAGCGTACATCTATCGGCTGTGGAATTAGCACAAGATCTTTCCAACGAATATTAGATGCGATTGATTCTCGCCACGGGAGGATCGGGAGAACCTCAATCCCAGTTTCCCGAGGTGCTCGATGGAACTGCGGGCTAATCGAGTGGAAACGTTGGAGCGCGAAGAAAGAAGCGCGATCCTTCGACCTGGCTTTCGTTTGAAGTCTGACGAGTTCGAGTGTGGTGTACGATTCGAGTTAACGGCGATCTTACCTTTGATTTTCTGCGGGCAACGAAGTGATTCGAGAGAAACCTCGCGCACTTGGTGTTTGACGACAAGATAACCAACGAACGTAAAAGACGCGATGGTAAATTGCAACGCGAGTTTCGCCCACGCAGAAAGGATAAGAAAGAGAGAGAGAGAGAGAGAGTAAAATTACAGCTTTCCACGGGATATCTGCGAGATTAAAAGCTGCAGCACTCTCGTCGCGAACAGTAGGTAATAACACGATACTACTCTCGCAGCGCTGAAGGATTCACCGGGAACTGGATGGAAACGAAGAGCAAGTGTTTAAGAGATATTGAAGTGCCATCTGCAGCCTTCAGGCGAGTCAAAGAAAATCGACGAACGAAGAAACGAACGAACGCTGGCCTGGGTATTGTTGCGTCGTTTCCATCTCGTTTCACTCGAGAGTCTCTCCACCCTTGTTGCAACGTTGGGCGCGTCTCGCAAACGTGCGTAGTATAATGTCGAGCAAACGTTCGAAAAAACGAGAGGTGAATTGTCTGTCCCGTTGGAACGGAGACACGACGAAGGAAAGCAAAGAAGAAAGGGACGCGCGTCTGTCGTTCGAAGATTTCCAGAATCGGAAAAACGGAAAAGCGCGAGTTGAGAAAATCAAGGAGAACGAGTCAGAGATATGACGATGATTCGGGGTTCGTTTTGATTCTCGGGAACAAGAGTCGAAATCAGGATCGAACGTGACGAAACGGCGGTTCTTCACGATCCTCCACGCGCTGGCCGGAATAGTATCTCGGGACGCGAGATACTTTTCGGTCGGTGCCATTCATCCTCGGCTCGATTGCTTATGCAGTCGACGCGCGCGGCAGGTGGCGTAATCGAAAGACGGAGAGCGACAAGGGACTGATAGCCTGCAATTGCGTACGAAGAACTATTTCTATGGCGAGTGCCAGCTGCCGTTAATGCGAAACCTTGAGGGAAACCTCGCCTCGTTTCGACAAATTTATTCTCGTTGTCCTCGAGATCGCGATTCCTGTGATTCTCGGATCTTTTCGAAGATTCGCTCCAACGTTCGTATTCTCTCTATATTGTTGCGATTTCGTCAGAGAGAGAGAGAGAGTAGAGATAACTAATTAACTCTGTTTCCGTTCTTACGAAATTATTCGACCAATATCTTTCGTAAAAACCTGTTCGGGGCTGAGAAGAGGATGTTCAAGATAAAAATACGGAACATTTGTGTCGATTACTTCAATTAACCCACGAACAGCCGACGTGAATGAGCGACGCGGCGAGCCGACACCGGATCACTTTTGACCCACAGCTGAATTTTTACTATACTTGCACCTAACTTTTTGATACAGGATGCTATCTAACAATGTTTATAATATGGGGAGGAGAGGAGAATTTTTCTTTACAAAACATGTAAAGTTTTATAAACATATTTTTTATCTATGTGCACTGCGTACATACAACTTACGTTACTGCGTTCTATTGCATGTTCTTTGCATGTATAATCGTAAACATTTGGCACATTTGGCACATTATACACAGTACATATCTAGATCTTTTTCGCTACCCTCAAGTTCTGGGTCAACGGTGGCCCAGGTGTCGGTTACGCGAGGGTATAGAAGATTCCAGTGTATCCCGTATGGTTGATCGTTGTGTCGAGAGACGAATACTATAGTTATTGTCGCGGCTAGTGGAAACGAAGTGAAAGAAAGCGCGCGCGAAAGCTTTTCAGTGGCTGTAAGAGGACGCTGTTCTTTCGGTACGTGCCTCGGCTGTCGCTGTAGAACAGAGCTAGATAGCGAATCGAGAGGTCGATTCTCCCGCTGAAAGGGAATTACTTCCAACGTGGTGGAGGTCTCGTCTCGAGGAATCATCGTGGAGGCGTTCGAGTCGAATCGACTTGGCGAGCTTCTCGCCTATCGCCCACCGTTTGCGAGAGGAAAAGCTGCGGAAAAGATCAAACAAGTCGGACAAACCGGGGTTATGCCTGTTTTTTCATCGTGGAACGTTCGAGCGTCTATGTGCTGACAATATTGTGGAGGATCAATGACTGTTCTTGTTAATTGACTTTTGTTGAGAAATATTGTTACAATAGTACGTTGAACGAAAGGAACAATTTGTAATTTTTGTATCGAAAGTTATGAATTTACGAGTTTCGCAATCGACGATAACGGTATATACCGGAGATATAGTAACTCGTGTCGGAAGAAACGGAAGAGAGAAACGATACCGACATCGCGAACTTGCTGCAACTTGGCGACAATGCGTGCGCGTCGTAACACGTGTTCAAGCGTTCGATAACTGATATACGCGTTCAATAAAATCTGTTCAATAAAATAGGGAACAATGTCACGAACCCTGTAATCGATTCATTGTCAAAACGCGTGTGCTCAATTTCAAGAGTGTTATCGCGTTGCATACGGAAGGATTGACAAATCTTGGAAGATGAAACGTCCAACGAAACAAAGCTGATGGAGAAACGATGAAGAGAAGGTCGATCGATTTCGAGATGTAGAATAAATTCGCTATTTTGGAATGCAACAGTAGGGGTGAAAAAAGAAAGTGGAACACTCGTTGTAGTAGAGTAGTTGCTTCAAAAGACACTCTACACACCGTGTTCCTAACTCGGCGAGGAAAAGAGAGTGAGAGAGGAACAGCTGACAAGATAGGCGAGAGACGTAAGAGCGATAAGTCAGTTGGATCGATTTCGCTGTTTTGAAGCGGCATTATATCGCTCGGGATGAAAAATGGAAGGCTGAGAGAGCGAGAGAGGGAGAGAAGCGCAGGTGCATCGAGCGCAAACGTATGACATTGTCTTTCCGCATTGAAGGCACGTCTAAAAGTGGCGTTCTATCTCGTTTTGAAAAATGGCACCCATGATCATCGGTGAAACACACCGTGAAACGCGGACAGAAAACATTTCTCCGGAGGATTGTTTAACTTGATTTCGAATGACTTATCGGAGACTCGTTTCGTGTATCGGTCGGCACCACGTTCTAAATCTAGAAAGAAAAAAAAAAAAAAAAAAACGAGAGCGACCGGGAGAGACGTTGAGAATTATACCGATCCGCGAGAAACGAAAGAGAAAAAAGACGACTGTGCGAGAGAGAAATTCATTTCACCTTCCTGCGAATTTCTTCGTCAATTGCGGAGGAAGCGGCGGAAATACAGCGAACGATCGAAAACGGAGTAGAGATGGGATCGACCGTCTCGCGAATGGACTCGAATCTTTCAAACGAAATTCGTTTCCTATAAGCATACGCGCCAGAGATTTTCAATTTAAAAGAGCATGTTTCTATTTAGGCGGCAGTGATTCGAATGTCGGATACGAATATAGTCTCGTGCATGCGCGAGAACTGAAAAGAATCGGATCTCGTTTCGAACAATGATACAATCAGTGTCATCTCTGGATCCTCCAGCGAAAGTGAGGTGGCGATCACTTTGTAGAATTTTAATTTCCCGGATATTCTATTTGATTCGAGTACTATTCTTGAAAGTTTCTCGAGTTTTGCAAACACGAGTATCGTTCCATAGTTTGAAACCTAGCTTGTATCGTACCGAATGAAATTGAATTGGACACTGATTGATCATATAAGATATATTAAATCGGTTGAGTATCGATTATATCGAATATATTCGATCTGTTATGTCGAATGACTGCACGTCGAAACGAACTGAAACCCATCGCGAGCCTGTACTCGCAATCAGCGAAAAACGAACTTTTCAAGTGGTTTGGCGAAGTTCGAAATTCGCGAAAACGAACATTGAACATCGAACTAGATTCGGGGTTCGTGAGTGGCATGATTGGACTTGATCCCATCCCTAGACACGAGAGAGGGGAAGAAATGGATAGGGTGTCAGCTGCTTCGACCAGAACTGATTTTCCCGCACGTTCCCTCTGGTTCGGCTCGCGGGACGCGTTCTAAATAACAAGCGAAACGCGTGCTCGAGAGAGAAAAATCACTTTCGTCGTCGGGCGACACGCGGGAAAATCACGGACGAGAAATAATTCCGTGTTTCTCGCTACGTTTATTTATTTATTTATTTATTTTTCTTTTTTTTTTTTTTTTTGTCTTAAACCAGGGGTCTTAAGGAGGTATTCTAGTGTGAACTTTGAAAAAATCGATTTTTTTTTTTTGCAAATTCTTAAAGGACATAGTTTCAAAAATAAACCTCTAATCTTACATGTGAACTCCGAAAATTAACAAAGTTATGGTTGTTTGAAGGATGCGACGTCATTGTTACTGCAATACTAAACTTTAAAGGCATATTTCTGGAAACTATGTTTTTCAGAACGGTGTCCATGATATCTTAAAATCTAGTTGATCAATTGACTCAAAATTTGAAGTACGCATTTAGTACATGCGTGACTATAGCACCTACCAGAATCAACCAAAAAATTTTATTTTTTATACTTTTTCAGGCTTCCGAAGTTTAACAGAAACATGCAAAAATCGATAATCGAACTACAAAGTGTCGCCACTTTTTTCTTTTGGTACTTGCTATAGCCAAACTCATATTAATTAAGGAACATTCACGTTTTTTTTTTTTTTTTTTTTTTTTTTTCCGACAAGCAGAATGGCCGGAATCATGGATATCGTGAGACGGCCTTTTTTAAAAGCTATGTTTGAGAGTATGCAGTGCCACTAATTTTGACTTTTTTGTCCAAAAAAATTTTGAAACGTCGTTAAAGTACGTACAAATAAACCTTGTCAATTTGACTGCAGAAGGTATAATAGTTTCTTTGCAAAAAAATTTCCTAACAAAGTTAACAAACAACACACACATCACACTAGGATACCGCCTTAAACTGGGAACGTGGGTTAAAATTTGAAGAACGTCCACGATATTCACAGACACGCGTGTGTCACCGAGCGATTTTATTTCGCTGGGAATATCGATCGAGCGTTATTTCGATAACCGTTTGGAACAACCTGTCGTGAAAACGTTCGGGCGACGACCGACGAAAGAAGGTTGGTTGAAATTTTTTTGTTTGACTCGTAGTTTTCTTTGCGCGTCGAGTGTTAGTTAATTTCTTTTTATCAAACCCTTTGCCCTCGCTAAATTTAAATACAAGTGCGCAAAGGGTTACGTTTCGAAAGGAGAGTATATCGTGGTATAGGTGATTAATTATTTGCTCAAATGGTTTGAAAATATTTTAACAAATCCTTTCCATAAACGAAATTTACACACGTATGCAATTTCTTTATTAGTTTTGAGTAAAAATTTTATAGATTGTTATATAGATTTATATAGAGTTATATAGATTATTGTATAGATTTATATAGATTTATGTAATTTTTATAAATTATATAGATTTATATAGATTTATGTAGATTTATATAATTTATATAGATTATTATATAGATTTGTATAATTTATATAAAAAGTTATAAACAGGGGGGGGGGGGGTATAAAGACCAGAACGAAAGCAGGGTGTCGTTATTCAAATTATTAGAGTGATTTATGACTCGGAGAAGTTTTAAAGTTCTTGAAGAATTTTTACAAATAATGATTAATCTTCTTCGGCTTTAAAATGACAGTTTTGTAAATCGGCCTCGAATTTTTCCAATTATCGTGCACAATTTTCGAGTGAAAATGTATTAGAAATTGAGAAAAGTGAACACTGTGCAGGCAGAAACCACGCGTGCTCGATGTCCACGTTTCCGTAACACTGGCCAGGCGAATTGAATTCGATAGAAACCGGATTCCAGGTTCCATCTCCCGCATCTCGGTGAAACGCACAGCTGATACGTGTAATTTATGCATGTTTCCATCGCGCGGTAAGCCTTGTGACGTATCTTGCAATGCGTGACAAATAGATCGTTGCCTTTGAAGCCGACATTGTTGATCCGACGACTCACAATGTGAACACAAATCCAAAATCAGCCAGACGAATTGAGTAACGAGGATATTACGTCGATACCACGTGCAATTTATCTTGCCACTGCATGAACATATTCGTTGCGATATTTGTTCAAATCATCTTCGCCCGCGAAGTGATCTAAATGTGAATGGTGAATTTACAGAAAAGTTTTAGTGTCGACAGTTTTTGCAATTTAGGGAATTGTTCAGAAATTCAAACAAATTGAAACTAAAACACCAGAATTGTTGACTTCAATTAAAATAAATACAGCTAGAAGTAAGAATTGAAATCAATGAAATTTGAAAACAAATTGTTCTTAATTCAGATGATTGATTTGCAGGGAAATTTTAATAAAAGTTTCTCATGGACACAGTTGATAGAATTCTTATAACAGTGTTGATTGCAGTTCAGAAAATTATTCAGAAATTCCAAACAAATTAAAATTGAAGTATCTGTTTGATGTCAAATCAAAATTAATGTAGCCAAATGTTTAATCGAAGGTAAAATTAAAGTCAATGAAATTCAAGAAACAAATTGTTATTAATGCAGATAACGATCGATTCGCAGGAAAAATTTTGTTAAAAGTTCCTTGAAGGCACAGTGTCGATAGATTGTGATATTTACAATTCGAAAAGTAACTCTACATTCATCGTTCGGTTTGCTTCCTGTTCGGCTAATAATCCTTCCGGAACTACGAGGTCGAAATTAACCCTCAGTCAGTGACAAAGTTGTGACCAAGCTGTGTGGTGAAGAAAGATGAAGTCCAATATTTGTTGTTTATGTCAACAGGAGGATAGAGGTTGATCTTTAAACTACAGTAAGAGGAAACATTTCGTGCAAATAGTATCCTCGTATACGCGCGCAAATAATGCTACTAGCTTTCAAGGGGATATATCTCGAACAAAACAGCCACGCGAATACTAAACGTGAATGTTCAATGAAAATAAGTGGTAGAAAAATATTTTATTTTTGTCAAAAAAAGAAACGCGTGTAATATCACGTTTGATGAGGCAATGTTGAAAAAAATTGTACAATCTGTCGTAAGAAGAAATGGGTATTACGGTTTAGTTGAAAAATTCTCAAGCTTTATTTACAAGTTTCAAACATGCGAGAAATAATCGAGTAGAATTTCCAGTGGAAATATTTTGTATTTATTAAAAGTTCGAATGAAGTTCGAAGTAAATCGAAATTTCCACCGAATGTAAAAGAAATGGAGTGTAAAGTACGATTCGCGTGTATTTAATCAGGAGAATTTTCCGCGTGAAGGGAAAGTCGAAGCTCGGCTGGAAACGGGCAGAGACAGGGGAAGAACGTGACGACCGGCCTTTCATCGAGTCATCAGAGTTGTAATTTAGTATCCACATTCGTGGACATAGCGGAGTAATTGCCGTGGTGGTTAATTGACGAGGACGTTGCGTGGTGCGTCATACGAACGACGCCATAACATTGGAACCCCGATGTGTTCCATCCAGACTCATTTTTGCGGCCACGCTGTTATCCCTCGTTAAACCTGTTCAAGCCCTCGCTCCTCTGATGTCGATCGATGACAGATCGATCCACGGGAATATTTAACGACCTTGCGTTCATTAGAGCGTCTTTCGCGTCAAGTTTCCTTCCATTTTTCATTTAACGACGGTAAAATTGTTGGAAAGGATTCGTTAAAACTGAAAGTACAGACGAATTTTGCAGAATCTGTTTACTTGAAATTGATTTCGATCGATTTACATGAAAATTAAATGGGCAGAAAAAATGAATATGTATGAAATTTTATTTTCAATTTTAATTTTATTCTCAAAAATATAAATTTGCGTAGAATTTTATAGCCCATTGTGAATTATTGTTTTGTTCTAGTGAGGATATTGAAACTCTAATTTTTCTTCTCCGTTTGTTTCACTTAAATTTTAATAAATTGGAAAAGATAGAGAACTATCTGCGACGCAGGATTTTTTCTCTCTTTTTTCACTAAAGAACATTATGCGAAATTATTTATATATTATAGCCAGGGAAAATTATTAATTTTGAAACTATTTTCTTTATTTCTTGCGAGCAATCGCGGTTATCGGTGAAATTTAATTAATTTAATTTTGTCAATGTGTATGACACGTTGACTGTGTCTCTATTTATTTATTCGCTTAAATTATTCCTTCAAAACCACTAGTCAGACACTTGTTATATTCTTGTAAATTTTTCGGAACAGACCATTTTATTATTAGATTGGCACGTGTGAAACGATTTTAAAAAATTTAATAAATTTAATTCGGCATATTTATCGATCGTAAGCAAAGACTTGTCATAATGTTTTCACGACTTGGAATCCAATGAAGAATTACCTAATACCACCGAATTCTCGTGTTCATTGAACAGCGATGAAATGTTCACGATAGACATGTAACTGACTTCACAGGTATTACAACTAAACTAGTTCACTTAGTATATTAATACGATGTTAATTATTATATTACGACGTTGTTACCTTTATAGAAATAAAAAAACAATCTGTCGTTAATCTGTTAATTAAGGATAATAACGAGTCAACTTTTAACTCAAATATCCGTACGTAATAAAATTACATATCACTAGTTTCAGTTTTCGCCTCCTTTTTTTTTTTTTTTTTTTTTTTTTTTTTTTTTTTTTTTTTTTTTTTTTTTTTTTTTNTTTTTTTTGTTCTAGAAGTTTGTTGTATCTTTGATGTTTTATTTCTCACAGAAATATTGCAAACGTGAATTATAATTTCTCATTGTTTTTGTCCACAAATCACGTAATCGATGCCCTTGCAATAGAAACGAATGAACATTTCAATTGCAAAATAAGGTCTGTTTATACGTCGAAGCAAACTGCTCTAAGACTTCGACGTATTTCAACGAATGTTTTATATAAATTATATTTTATATCGAGTGATTTATGGGCAAGACAAATTCCTCGGTGGACAGATTAACGTCGATGCAGATTTGGAGCGATCGAGGTAACGATAACACGAACATGTGAAAACTAAAAGCGAGAAGCTATAAACGAAGGGGGAAAAAAAAATAGAAACACACGAGAGAAGAAATCATGCATTTCGCGAAACATTCTTCGGTTAGCGATTAACCGAGCCTGTCGATTGCGTATCCGATTCCACGAAATACGTGGAAATACGAAGTAATCCAAGCGCTTTGGCTCACTTGTCCGCGCGCATAAAAGTTTGAACGAGTTGCGGAGAATGCGCGCGAACAGCTTCCCCACGAAATGGAATCCGAAGCTTTAACGATTAGTTTAAATAATGCGATTCGCGGTTTCTCGATCGGGAGGAACGATCCTTTATCCAGTTGATTCTTTTCTTTTCTTTTTTTCTTTTTTTTTTTCTTTGGCAAAAATAGCCGAAAAGCTGTGTTTAGTTTATCCTCGCCGTTCAGTTTCATTCACGTTGCCACTGAATCGGAAGAAGTTAGGATTTTCTTGATAGTTTCGTCGTGATTATCGTCCACCTTTTGAAACGAGGAATTACGCAAGGTTTGAAATTCTGTCGATTCTTTGAAGACAAAAAATATTTGATTCGAACGACATTTATAAAAGTTGTCGTCAACTTTTATTCTGAAAAAAAAAAAAACGATCATTATTTCCTTCTAAAATATTAGAATCTTGCGAAATAATCCAAACGATATTTCAATATATGTTTAAAAGTCTTCTCTTTCCTTCTTTTTCCTCTTCTTTTACGCAGAATTTGCAGTGTTAAATACAAACGGTATTTCATCAAAATTATCCCTCCGCTTCCGAAGTGGAGAAAACCACAAAAGATTTACTCTTCGTCGTTTTTATCTCGGTTTTTTTTCCTTTCTTCTTACGCGCGATTTCGAATATTCCCTTGGAAAATTATTCAAACGATGTTTCGTTGTAATTGTCGTTTCATTTTTCAAAGTGGAAATGGTTTAAATATTCGTTATTTTTTTTCCCCGCCTCCTTTCCTCTCTTGTTCCCTTCTCTTTTACGCGAAACCGCGCGTTTGACTGACACGGAAATATTAGCATGGCTAAAGGCAGCCGGGAACATCTCGTTGTTCGCAGAAAGTCGTTGTAAGTCACGTGGTAAAAAAAAAGTGACGGAACCCAGATCCCACGCGTTTATCATGCGTATATCCCGTACGCGAAATTCATGGTTTTTGCATAGCTGAAAATTCACCAACGCCGGATAATGTGGCCCGTGCGTCGATTAGCACCCCTTTGACTCCGTCATAAATGTCAGCAGTTAACGTTGCGTTAATTCCCCTCGAAAGAAGAAAAAAA